TCCTTAGAGTACATGGTATCCAAGCATCTGAGTGGGCGGCATTCACCCTGGTGGCTGTAGATAAGCTTGTGTCGGACTCCGAAGGAAAGCTGCCTGTTTCACATGGGTTAGCTAGGGCACAGTGATTATTCCCAGAGCTCACCCAAGCAAATTGATGAGTCCAAGGTGAGCAGAACCAATGCACTGGCATTTGCCAAACACAGATTCAGATTAAAGCAGGATTAATTAGTTCCTCTTAGTCAGTTACTGCCTCGAGTAGGCGAGCTGAGGAAGAAATGTTAGGTGCACACTGAATGCGAACTACCTTCTGTTTTCAGCTGAAGGTGCAAAGCAAAGAGCAGGGAATATAAACAGACAGTGAATATAAAATTGTAGTTCGGTGGGGAAAGGAGTTCTGTGAGCAATTCAGCTTCTTCCTCTGAATCGTACCCAGAATAGCACTGACTCTTATTTGTGTAGATTGTTCAGAATGTAGACTTTTATTGTAAGATAAAATACAAATACCTGCAGTCTGAGGCATTCTGTGAGTTTCCAGGATGGGGTTTGAGACTATCACCATAGTTTCAAAGCTAATACTGTAATTACTTTTTACCACTCTACTAGCTAATATTGACAATGAACCATACTGTTATCTAGCATAACTTGGTCGAGACCCTTGTAAAAAAAGAATCCATAACCACGTGTGGCAGTCTGTCCAAATGAGAGGCTGGGACCTAGGAAGAGAACATCATTTTAAGGACGGACACGGTACAGTTAATGTGCACAAGACATACCCAGCCAAAGAGAAGCCAGTCTCTTGGTGTTAATAGTCTAGCTTTTTTTCTAGTATAGCTGTTCACAAAGTAATTTAAAGATGAGGCATGCTACAAAATAATATTGATGTGTGTTAGGAATAAACTCTGAATAAATAAATGCCGACCTGGAGCTACAATCTTTTGTTGGTGGGGAAATAATAAACTATTTATGATTTTCCTTATGATGCTTCATTGACATATGGCGCTTCTAAACCAGTGACAAATTAATTGACTTGGTTTAAAAAGAAACGGAGGTGGCTTAATGAAGAAGGACAGGGCATGTATTAGGAGGCAGCTGGTTCTGCCACTGCCGGCTTATGGAGACAATATACATCGGACAGCAAATGAGTCTCTGTTGCATAAGATAAATTCTCCTTATAATAGAATTGCATGCTTTGTCTCTAAATGGGGTTATTATACACACCATTGCACAATGTTTGAAGAGCTTCGTTGGCCCTTATAGAGGGTTAGGAGAGAAATAAATTGGAAAACAATCGTACTTAAGACCTTCAATCCATCAAACACTCCACATTTATCTAAATTACTAGCACATTCTTCCAAAATACAAATCTGGATGATACACACAGCTAGAATGTTAATGCTGACCAGCCTCCACGTCTGTTTTATCAGGTTTTCCATCGTAAGCACAGACTAAAACGATGCACGTTGGAGCCTGGCAGTGTATCTCAACCACTACCCTCCCCTTCCCTTTCCCTCCGCTCTTCATACATCCACTGTCTTAGTCCCTGAAGTTTCACTCGGTATTCTTTGCACCCACTGTGAACGCACAGGCATCACTTGTCCTGGGTTATTTAACTCTCAGAACTTTTTTGACTTGAACACTCAGGCAGGCTTAATGCTAATTTACTTGGTCTCTTTGCTTTTCTGCACACTTGTGGGTCCTTACTGTTCAGTCTCTTAGTTATCCTTTAGAATAAATCCATTTCATTCCCTTACAGCCTCTAAAAAACCCCAGGAAGTAATAGAAGCTGACAGGATAAGTGGTACCATTGTTCACTCCATCTATGAAGATTGCACGTCCTAGGAGAGGACACGGGCAAGACTCATTCGGATGGTGTAGGTCAGGGGAGGTGGGAGCTGAGTCATTCTCTTCCTGCTAAAGCCCTCTGACCTGGCTTTGAAGCTGGCTCTCTCCTTCTAGGATATTATCATGTAGCGTTTAGGAATTTTGTAGCTCATAATAATGATGTAGATTGATCTAGATTGCTTTAGGATTAGAACATGTTTTCAAGCCCCAGGGGTGGTGTTACTTGGGAAAAGGGACCCTCGAGTATCTCATGATGAGGTTTTGACTTGTCAAGGGACTTTGAACACACCGTTCATTCCTGTCAAGCTTGGGATTTTCACCTGTGAGGTGAGGTTACAGTATTTGCTCCTTCCAGCTTTTCTTCTGTATTTCTTTCCTTCCTCCCTCCAAGAACAATAGAAAAGAATTGCTCTTGTGAAACATTTGAAGGTTCTTGAGTAAGAAGGTCTTTTTACGATATTATTCTATCCCAAACCAGATTACTTCCTCCTCCTCCTCATTGTGGGGTTCTTTGCTTTTCAAATACACCTGTATTCTGGTCTAGAGAAAGGTGAGCTGAAAGAAATGGACAAAATAGTCTCCTGGGCTTCTCCACATATCTATTACCCTTTCCAGATGGAACCTTGAAGCTGTGGCAAAAGTGTTATTTTCCCGACAGAGCAGGCATGAAGTGGCTAAGATTATACTGAAAGGTGTGACGGGGTGCTGTACAACAAAGGGAAGTCACCACTTTGTAATTCAATCTGTTGATGTTTTCTTCTTCTGTGTGGGTTTTTGGATTTCCTTGTCATTTCTGGAATTCTTTCCTTCTTTTTAAAATCCTCACCCGACGATATGCTTCTCATTGATTCGAGAGAGTGAGGGAGAGGGCGATAGAGAAACATCGATCTGTTGCTTCCCATACACGTCCTCACTAGGGATCAAACCCACAACCTGGGTATGTGCCCTGACTGGGAATCAGTGCACAGAATGACGTTCTAACCAACTGAGTCACACTGGCCAGGGCTGGAATTATTTCTTAAATGGTGGGTATTGTGTTGCTAAGTGTGTTTCTCCAGAAGCTTATTCCATCCAGCTAATTTTTTGGTTGCATACATTCTTTTGAAAATAGAGCCACATTATTTATGATAAAGTTTCTATAATTTAGTCAGGGAAAAGAAAAAAATGAAGACAAATGGTTACTGTGACTAGTTAATGAATTTTCTTTTGCCTGTTTTTTAAAAAGACTTTTATGTTCTTCGGCAAAAACAGATTATTTGATGACAATGCTAAGAATACTTAACTCTAGGTAAAAAATCGTTTCCATTTGACTGCATATTTCATTTAATGAGAGGGCTTTTATTTATATTTTGTTCTTTCAACATAATTATCTTAAGAAAATAATATGTACAGAGACAAATGAGTAGAGATTAGACACTGGTCTTTATAAATGTTTGTTCAAGTTAGTGCAGTGTAGAGAAAGGAAATCAAGAATCAAAATGCCTTAGAATTAAATCTTTGCTTGTATGTAATATCTTTAGTTCAAGGATCTGAAAACACATTATAAGCAATTAAACTTTAGGATACAAATGGGATTTCTATATTGTTTATTGCTTAAATTAAGATATCAAATTGGGATTTGTGTTGGGTTCCTAGGAAGTCCTTTCTTTTAAGTCTACAAATTTGCATATCCTAGTTTTCCTGGAATTTTTTTTTAATCTTATTTTCTCAAACCATTTCCAGATCTTTTTCTACCCATGTCATATTTCTTAAAAGACTCATTTCTTTACTTTCTATTTTTGATTTGTTCTTCAGCCTCTGTGACTTTTGCTCCAAAAATGCTGAATAAGGTCAGTGGTGCTGTCCTAATAGCTCACCCCAAGGCCATTTTAGTCCCTCTTCCTGTTTCTTCTCTTTACCCCATTTGATGTCATTGACCACTCATCATGCCTCCCTTTTTAAACATCTGGGGACAATTACTCTCCTTTATTTTCTTGCTCTGCATCTGTCTTACTTTCCTACTGCGTATATGCTGGCTCTACCCCAAATCTGGTTGTCCTGGCTCATCCTGTGAGCCATTCTGGCTGAGGAATCCACTCTCGTGGCTCTGGCCTGGACCCACCTCTAGCTCCAGCTTGCTCCTCAGTTCTCAACTCTGGAACCACATTTTCAACTCCTCTTCTAAATATCTTACAGAGCTCCAAGCTCAACATATCCCAAACCCCACTGATTATCATGAGAGGATAGAGTAACAGTTCCCTTGTCCTTCCCCCAATACTGTCTCCTCTCTAGCCTCTCTGTCTCCAGTACCATCACTCTCCAGCCCCCACATGTCCCTGTTAGAGACTTTGGTGCTGTCTGGTTCTTTCCTTCCTCACTTGTCTATAACAAACCCCATTGATTCTACCTCAGAAATGTCGTCACATCTACCTACCTTCCACCCTAACTGGTTGCCTTGGGTCCAGCTTTTCTTTATCCAGCTTGTACTGGTGCCCTGAGCAGTCTCCTCATTTTGTTCTCTGCTTTGCTGCTGGAGTTATTCCCCTGAAGACAAACCCAGGCATGGCCCATCCTTGGCTTCCACTTGTGTAAAGGATGTGGTCCCAAACTATATCCTGTGTGACACACAGAGTCCAATCCCAGCCAGTGAGCCCAGCCTGTTCTCTCTGCTTCTCCCTCCTCCTGCCCTGTGCACCTGCTCATCTGGATTTACCACTCCTCTGTCCTCTTATTAAACCTTGGCCTTCAGAGCTTTTCTTTTCTTTCTCTCTGCTTGGGGGACACTCCTATTCATTCTTCAAGGGACAATTTAAGTGCCATTTATGTGAAATCTCCCCCAGCTACTGCAACCGGAAGTAGATACTCCCGGCCTTTACATAACACTTTGTCCAGCTCTTCCATCACTGCCCTTGTCTCAGTCCTGTGATCATAAGTTTAGGTAGAAAGGGACTCTCTTTTCCTTAGCTGCCATATTATTTGTAGCCAAATGCTGGGCACATCCTAGCCCTTTGATCAGGGTTGGCTCAGTGCATGATTGAATGAATTTGTGGGTGCATGTAATCAGCATGGAGCTGTGGCGTAGCTTAGGATGGTCCCGAACCATCCTGACCGTGCTGCAGAGGCACTTTCTTTGTCTTGCTGGGGCTGTTAATCTCCACTGTGGTTATGCTTTCCATCAGGAAAAGGAGAAACTGTATGTGGAACTAAAGCACATCCTGGCCCGGCAGCCTGGGCCCGAGGCTGCAGAGCAGCTGCAGATCTACCGCCAGACTCTGCAACAGAAGACCAAGCAGCTTAAAGTGAGTAGCCTCTGCTCGTTCCTAGCCAAACTCTGGGGAACACACCTGAGCAAGTCTGCTGCCTCAGCTTCAGGAGCTGGTTTCCCAAATGCCCTACTCCACCGAGGTCAGCCCTTTTAGCACCTTACTTCCAGGAGGAGCAGGGCAAGCCTCAGAGCTACCCCTCTGCTCTTAGACTGATAGACCCCACAATTCTCCATCTCCCAAAAGAGGGGAGTGAGCAAGTGGGGAGAGAGTCAGGGAGAAGATGATGGCAATGGGATGGAAATTGGGGGTTAGAGTTTGTATGGATGATCTCAAGATGGTTTAGGGGATTTGGATGGTGGGGAAGAACAAAGGAAACATTAACACCATTGCCCATTGAAGGACATCGCTGTGACAATGCAGATTTTTGCTCTTCCATTCCACCTGAAATAAACACACACGAAGTACCAGCTCCTCCCCAGCCCTTGGGGCCTTGCTTCATGACCTTCTATCAAACAAATTGCCATGAACGGGAAATAAAACCCTGAGGAATCCTCTTAATATAAATTCCTTTCTAAATGACATAAGAACTCAATTGAAGAGATAATAATGTTTTACCATTACACATGCCTTTTTTAAAGTTTTCTAGAAAATGATGCTTTCCCATTATATTTTGAGCTTTTTCTTCTAAGTGAGTACTTTGATATTCTGGGCATGTCAGGGGAGTCTGATACATACACATGCACAGAGGGTAGCACACGCCAGCTGGGTTCTGGCACTTACCTGGGCACTGAGGGTGATAATTATTGCCTTCCTGCCTGGGGTAAAATAGATGTCATGCTACTAATATAGTACTGATCCTTTCACAAATAGGACAAAATTGCATCCTTTTGGTTAAAAAAGGAAGATGAAACAGAAGTCTAATTAGAACATTAATTTTCAACTTATCACTCTAAGTATTCATTTCACATGATCATCCTGAGACATAATTTGAGTTTTGCATGAGGCATAATCTTTTGGTTGTTTTCATCCCTTTAAATAGTTGAATATTTCAAACAAAATAGAAGCTTGTTTTCCAGGGATGAGTATAGAATAGAAAAGCACATGTCTGTCTTTGCACTACTGTCAGAAAGCCACACCAAGCACTGGATTGCACTTGATGGCTCATAGGAGCCTTTTGTCACTTTAACCCTTTATTTAAGAAAATCTGGGTTTTTTCCATTGAATGAAATATGACCAATGGTGGAAGCAGCTCAGAGGCAGATGCACTGAGTCTCTTGGCAAGTTTGTCCTCATGATCTGGACTCTTTTTTTATTTATTTAGGAAATTCCACATTCACAAGGTCTTGGTTTCTAAGACTTTAACTGTTAAGACAGGTTTCATTCCAACATGAAAATCATATCCTTTAGCTCATGATAACAGAGTCAGAATCATTTCCCCAGCAATTAAGAGGAGAGGGTTCAGAAGCAGATGCACACTCAAAAGACAAAATTTTAAAATTGAGTGAGAAGAAAAATAAATCCGAGTCGAGTGCATGTCCCTTAGAACAACAGCCTTTCTTTCCCCCCCTTGGTTTTTGCGGGGAGCACCCCTAGCTTTGGCATGCTTTCCACATGCTGTTCCGGTGAGTAAATTTCCACTCTTCTTGCCCAGCCTGACATCAGTAGCATCTATTGAACACACAATGGGAAAGGCGGGCAATGGGACTTCCTATTACAGCCCTCACGTGCATTAGACTCCCCCATGCACATGTCATAGCTCCCCAGTTCATAGAGGAAAGCGTCCCAGTGCTGGGATAAAGCAAGAACCTGTGACTAGTCCCAAAGAATACAATAAAGAGGTGATGGGCGTTTAGCAGAAACCACATAAATTGAATTCCTGCTTAGTGGGGGTGGTGGCAGGGTGACTTCAGATCTTTTATTTTGTATTTTTTTTTTTTACCATAATCCTCAGATGAGTCACACTCCCTAGTGATATCTTTCTTGAATGTTTTCTAAAAAAGGTTTTTAAAGGCAATTTGATACTGTGTGTCTGGGAGTTTTTCTGTCTGTCCTCACAGTATTCCTCGAAACACATCACATCATTCATGTGTGAGCCTGTTGAATGTTGCCTGATAGTTCTCCTTGTTAAGTAGGCGAATGAGGTTTCATTTAGATTTGTGCCTGGATTATGAGTCTTCAGCCCTCAGCCAGATTTTTGCCCAGACACAGGCCTTGCCCTGGTAGAAGCGTGCAGGCTAACTGTTAAACTGGTTTTGTACCTCTAGCCCCACTGAGGGAAATGGCAGCAGGTTAAAAAGATTTTTCAGAAAAAGCATATGTCTAACTGCATGTCTTCTGTTCATGCTGTTTTACTTGCCATGCTAGGTTTTGTCTTCAGAATTGAATATGTATGAATCACAGAGCGAAGAGTATAAGTATGAGCTGGGAAAACTTAGCAATGAACTAATGAATTTAAAGAAGAAATACCTCGCTCAGAAACGTAAAGAGCACCTTCAGAAGTAAGAATCAGACTAGTGTTCTAATTTTGGTGTGCCTATTACCGGCGGATGGGAAGATATTTGGTGTACAGTCACAGAGGTGCATATTCCATGGGGTAACCTAAGTCACAGGGTGAACAATTGACACTGTACAGGTCACTCACTGGGTATGTATCAGAGCAAGATCAGTATTTCGGCTGATACTAAGGCCTCTCCATTGGACCCTAACAGGGACCCATTAATACCTGCTCACTGGTAGATCTAATGTGGACCATGGGAAAGTGTGATTTTTTTTTCCCCCCTTCACACGGTTTTCACAATTTGGAAATGATCATGACATAACTGCATTTGCAAATGATGTTCACAGTCAGCCATGTACAGCTTATTCACATTGAAAACCACAGCTAATTTTGCCAGTGGGTCCGGCGTCTGGGCTTGGTAAAGCTGTTCTTTCTATAGTACAGCTGTACCACTGTACTTACGAGCAGTTTGTGAATAATTTTCACCTATGATTTAGATAAACTATCTCTGTGTCTAGAGACTGACTTCAGTACCTGCACTGGGGTATCGATGTGAGCTCTCATTCCTCTGGGAGACTAGAATGCAGGTGCCAGGTTAGCATTTTGCATTTCAGGATGCCTGCATGTCAAGGAGCAAGTCTTCTTTCCTTAGTTATCCTTATTTGCCTGGTCTAAGGTGAGAGAGTGAGCCCACAGCAGTAGGTTTGAACCTTGGCTTGGCTGTGTGGCATTACCCAACTCCTCTAGTTCACTGCACTGTGGCTCACATGGTGGGTTGAAAGTCAAGTTTGCGATTTCTTCCATGCAGGCATTTCAGGGACATGGTGAAAGAGGGTTTGAATGCATCTGCCTAGGATTCATTAGTGGCAAACAGCTATTTAAAGAAACTGGATGCAAATTCACTTGCTAGTAAAAATTCTACCCTTATAAATGAGAATGGTTCCTATTCTACATTTCAGTGTCAGTTCCTTGTTAGAATAAAATATGTGAAGAATTATAGCTAATTTAGGCGAGTCTGCCTTAATGTGTGGGTCTAGCAACTCTCTGATTCAGAATCACTGGCGAGACATATTAAGTAGCAGCCCCCAGTCCCCATTTCCAGATATTAGGATTCAGCAGGCTCTGGACGCGCCTCAGAAATCTGCAGTTTGATCACTCCACAGGCAGTTTCCGTGCATACTGAAGTTTGAGAACCACGGACATTACTGATATGAATTAGATGAGTGGAGTGGAAACACTGCAGTTTTCTTTTAGGAAACTAAAAGGCATACTTATAAACTGTCCATGTGGCTAGTTTCTACAGGAGGCAGGTGGCTAGATCAGTGACCTTCAAACTTTTGTATTGCGCAGCCTTTTCAGTAAAACATTTTTGAACTTGCAGCTTCCCAATATATATGTATGTAGTTTTTAGAATAAATATTTTTTATTTTAGAATATTTTTTTACCTCCAATGTATTTTAATTTACAAATTACATACAAATAGTATTATCACACTGTGAGTAATTATTAGCAAAGCGAGATTTTTAAATTTTTTTTAAAATATATTTTATTGATTTTTTACAGAGAGGAAGGGAGAGAGATAGTTAGAAACATCAATGAAAGAGAAACATCGATCAGCTGCCTCCTGCACATCCCCTACTGAGGATGTGCCTGCAACCAAGGTACATGCCCTTGGCCGGAATCGAACCTGGGACCTTTCAGTCCACAGGCCGACGCTCTATCCACTGAGCCAAACCGGTTTTGGCAAGATTTTTAATTTTTAAGGAATATATATATTCCATTATCTTCTTTTCAGTCCCCAGTGGGTCATGTCACTCACCTTCTGGATTTCATTTTGGAGGCCAGTGGTATGAATTACCCACCAACAAACTGCTAGCTTGGCTAAACTGTTGATTATCTTTCTAGAGCTGATTACCTACCTCCTCTGGGTTGGCCCTGGGTTTGGCCTAGTCTCCCTTAACCTTATTGATCCCCCGCTTCCAGAGTATTTTGGACACAAAGAGCATGCTGAGTCCATAGAGGGCGTCCCTCTGTGAACTCAGCCCTTCCCAACTGCCCATCTGCCAGAACTTCAGGGCTCCAGCCATATGCCACCTGTAGCTATTTAAATGGAAACGAATGACAATGAAATAAAATTAAACGTTTAGTTCCTCAGTTGCATTAGTTATATTTCCACTGCTCAGTCGCCACATGGGTCTAGTGGGCACTGCCTAGGTACAGAGGTTCTCTGTCAGCATGAAAGTCTTATCAGCGCTGCTCTAGCAGAATCTTTGCCTTTACCTGTCCTCCTCTTCCCCTGACATGCTCGTTACTGGCAGCCACTTGGACCTGGTTGGAGTGTCACTGGTGGTTCCATAGAGCTGGGGACCCGTAAACTGGAGGTAGACAGAGAGATGAGTTCCGAGGAGAACTGCAAAAAGCTATGAAAGGGGCTGAAGGAAAATAAGCCGAGGCAAAAACAAAAGTGCTGACGTGGTTTAGATCGGAAGGAGAACGGCTGGAGAGAATTACAAATACATGAAAAGGGGAATATAAAAAAGACATTATTCCCATTAGTCAGCTTAGGCCAAGTCAGAAGCCTTAAGCATAAGTTCCTTCAAAGAGGAAAAATGGGTTATTTAAGGCCAGAGTGGGCGGGGTAGGGGAGAGGGAGAGAGGAGAGCTGCCTGCATGTAGCTACGGTCAGGAGGAAGGCACTTGCCAGAGTGCTGGAAGGAATCCGCTTTGCTGGGTCCACTCCATTTTGTTCTATTTAGGGAGAAATTTTTTTTTTTATAATAATGAAATCAACTCTAAGAGATGGCTGGATTAATGAACCAATCCTCTACAGGTTCTTTCCAAATGGAATAATTTAGAATAATTTCTGTAGATGTTCTCCCCACACCTGCACTTTGTAAAATAACTCATATCATTTTTACCTTCTTTTATTTTTTCCCTCCAAACACCCTCTTTATCATGCTTCGGTCCCAACCTATACTCCTACCCATCTGCCCCCGACTCTCCTACTCTGGACCCCTCAGGCTGGTCTAAAGTCTGAAGTACTAGTCAGATCTTTTTATGCAAAATGTGGGTTTATTCCCCTCAGGTGAGTCATTCCTAGTTGTCAAATCTAATTGGTTTTGGCCTTAGTAGTTTGCTTAATTTTTATTTTAAAAAGAGATTCCGGAGTTAATTTTCATAAGACCCCTAATTACACAATAGGTAATTTGTGTAAATTTAAGGTACCTCTGTAGGAAACCTGAATATGTGTGCGTGTATGTGTGGTATATGTATGTGTGCTATGGGTGTGTGTATTTAAAGGAGCTTTATATAGAAGATACATTGTAGACTTTATGGTAGAACTCCCTTTATGTACTATCTTATTTATCTTTCCCGGCTTTTCTTGCATCTTAAACTCTTTAATAATAATTGCTGCGTGTGTAAAGTTACAGGATAACTTGCTTTTATAAATGTCCAAGTTTGATGAAGATACCTTTGTGCGGTAAATATTTATGTTTGTACTGGTACTTTGAATATAAAAGTTGATAAATGATGAATTAATCATTATCATTGAGCCAAGAGAAAGATTCTTCTGATCTGTGGAACTAAACCCGTGTTTTATAAAACAGGAAGGTGATTACAAATGAGAGGAGCCTTAAGTTCATAGTGCTTGAGTTATAATGAGGTCGTCTACCCATTAGGATGGAAGATTTAATTGTGTCTTTCCCTAAGTCTATGTGTTACCAGCAAACACCTAATTAGATCTTAAACAACTACCTTGTCTAAAACTGGAGCTTTAATAAAGCAGTTTTCACCCTGTGAACTTAGAGAACGCCAGACTTAAAAGAGAAAAACCATGTCCAGGAGGTTAACTCTCACCTCCTCTCTTACAGACACAAGGACAAAACATCCATGGATGTCGCCATCCCACTGGGCAAACCAACTGGCCCTCGTTTTACTGGGGGTGGATTTCCCCTCAGCAAGTCACCCCAAGTGCAATCCTAACTTGAAGCTGCTGGCCGGCTCCAGTTGAACAGCTCATGACATTTGCTCTGGAACCTTTTGGAGAAGTCTCTTTCAAACTCCCTAGGAATTTACAGAAATCAGTGCTTAGATTACAGGATGGAAAGAACATGCAGAACTGTCGTAGTCATGTACAAATAAGAGTGACGACATTCTACTCGGTCCACATGGATAGGAACAGCTTGGAATTATATCTATTCAGTTAGGCTGACCCATGGCATGAAGCAGGTCATCTGTTACAACCACGTTCGTTGGTTGATTTGAAATGCATCACATCTAGCCACTCCGTATGCACGAAGTTGTGGGCCTTTATTTCTCTGTTATGAGACATGGGTGCATTTGAAGACGTTTTTATATTTTAAAAAACATTTTTGAAATGCAGTGCATTCTTATTAGTAAGAATCTATTTTAATTATTCATACTTACAAGTAAATAATGTTAATCATTTTCAGAATGATTTCTATGTGGAATTCCTTTTTAGGGCTGGGGTATGAAAATCTATCACAAAGAGACATAATAAATATTCATAAAAAATAAAAAAGGAATATTTGTAGAGATTTTGATCTTTGGCAAAGTAAGGTTTAGAGGTTCTATGAGAAATGTTTAACGTAAGGATTTAGTTCATTTTCAGGACTGTAAAAGGAGGGATTTGGGCTGGTATTCTTCACAAGGCTCTCCTTTCTACCTCACTGTTGCAGAATGGAATTACGTAGAACAGGGATCTGGCTTCACAAGCTGCCGTGAGCGTTTTTGAGCTATTGAATCCATTGTATTTTCTTTTTGTTGAAGCCACAGTTAGATGGAAAACGTTCAACGTTCCCTCAATAATATTATGCGAGGACACTCTGGCCATCTCTCTCACAATAACTTGAGTTCTGTAATTTTTAATAGTTATTGAGGAGTAAGCTCAGGAATGAACAAGGACTGTGCAGTGGATCATCCATTTGTTTTACAGGAACAAGGTTTCCACTGAGAGGAGCAGATGAATAATGACCCAAGATGCTGGTTCAGATTATACAGAGTTGGGACTGCAGAGGTATCTTCTGCATGTTCTGCTGTCCCTCTCAGTTGACACCAGAAGCAGACCCCAGGCTCTGATGGCCATGAAAGTGATTTATTATGAAGTGATTTTAGAAATCCCAGTAAGAGTGGGGAAGTAGAACTGGGAAGGGAAGGAGAACCCAGTGAGGGTGCAATGTCAAGTCCAGTGCAATGCTGGGGACTTTGGCAGGATCTTGCAGGGAACTCTGAAGGCAATGTAATCACATCTCGGAGTTGTCCCCATCAGGGGTGAGGGAGCTGGGGTGCTTATATGCCTCATGTTGTTAGTCATTGACCAAGGACTGCTCTGAAGGGATCCTTCTGGTTCTTCCAGTTTGTGGGCAAAGCAGGGTCTGGCAGCCTGGGGGTGGCCTCAGACGGACAAAGGGACCACAGGTGCTGACTGTTTGGAAGTGAAAGTAGTTAAGGGCTTGGGGAAATGGGTCTTCCATTTCTTCCAAATGGTTCCAGAGGGAGAATTATAGAGAGAAATCAACCTCCATGTAGCTGACCTCTCAGTGGTGAGGTGTGACCATCAGCTGTGGTGAATGGGTATGTTCCCTAGAGAATTTGCTGAGAGCACTTTAACCCTACAGAATCACAGTGGGGCCATTTCTATGTTTGAAAATCACTGGTGCTATCTTCCCACAGAGCCGACCGTATTCTGTTGAGACAAAAGCTTTTGCAGGTAAGGCAAGGCAGTTATGATAATACGCACAACACTGGAGATTTTCCCATCTGCTTAGAGACATTTTGAAGGATAGCCATTCCATCTGAGTCCTTGGTAACTATAAAAAGGTCACTTCTCTAGGGAAATGGGGCCTATGATTCTTGATCTATCCCAGTATGGCAAAGACTCCAGAGATGGATGCTGGGTTCATATTCTGACTTCAGAAAAATGAGTTCTTTTGAGAATTAAATGAGTTAATGCATGTAAGCATACAACAATGTTAGGCACGTAGTTGTTGAATACAAAACTGTCATTGTTATGACGTAAGAGATACCTAATGTTTTAAAACTAGATAAGAAACATCATTACATAATGCTTTATTATATCAATGATAGAGGTGATTCTAATGCTTATTTAGAGGGTGAATGACACTAACATGTCTGGGTGAAGCAGAATTTGTTCATGAAATTTATAGTTGAATATCTCACAAAAATGCCATATTGGGTGTCTCATGAAAACTTCTGTATACTTATTTTTATTTTTTGTTAATATACAGAACTTCCAGAGGGAAAGACACGAGTGGCCTTGAGTTACCATCTTCTTGTTTCTCTCCATGTAATGGAGCAGGGTGGTCAGCCTCTGCTGGTGACAGCTGTTCCATGAGCTAAAGTGGCATGGGCTCTGGGAGCTGACATGGCTGCTCTATGGGCTCAATATGCTTATTTCAAATGCAGAAATAAATTAAGGTTAGAAAAAGTAGAAGATACTGCTGCTGCCTCTCATTTACTGCACATCCTGAGAGCCCAGGGTATTATAAGCAATAACTGTTTAGGTGCAGGTGTTACCACTGTGGCCACAGTACAAAAATGAGCTGTTAAAAACACTGAGATTTGCAAATCATTAAGGATAACTGTGATCTCACAGTGGGATGAGGTGCTTTTAAAATTACAAATTTGAGCTGCACTGTAGAGCAACATTAAGAGATTGTACAGTAGCATCATTTACCCTGGGGTTTTCAAAGTCTCCGAAAGAACTCATGTTGCTAAACCAGACGTTGACTCTCTACTGGGCTACTGGGGAGCTGGTATAGTTTCTCTGTTGATAGAGAGAGACACGATAAAGGGAACTGCCTGGTCATTATTTGCTGATCATAGCATCTCAGCGATGGCTCTTACAGCGAGGCTTTTATGGTGCTTACCTCTGAAGAAGCTGCTCAGAGCAAAGGTTTGTTGCTGTGATAAGCCAGAGAGATGGTGGTAGTCATGCTAGGAGGAGATGGCAGCAACTTTCTTTGTCAAGAGCTGTAATTTTGCTATAAAAATTTATCCAGGGTTGATAATTATCATTTGATTTCTTGGTTTGCTCAGCAAGATTCTGAAGTTTGACCTAGCCTCTGATACCCTTTGGAAAATACTATGTAATGAATTTTGAGCAGTATGGTATTTCAGAGGCTGGACAATTTAAGGAAAGATATTATCTCTCTCTTAAACATAATCAATTACATGGAGATCTAGTTGGAACAGGAGCTGAGGGAGGGCATTTTAAAATATTAAAATGGTAAAATAGTTTAAAAATACGTCTCACTATTTTCTTTATAGTAGATGGGAAATATTTTTATGGCATCATCCATTTTTAACTTCCAATTCAATGCTGTTTTAGTATACCATTTCTCATATCTATTATTTAAAAGTTCCATTAGGGTTTTGAGACCCATTAAAATTTTATAACAGTATAAGATGTGATATCAACAGGGCACCATTTTTCTTTTTTATAATTAAAAATAGGTTCCCTCCCCTTTATCTTAAAGTACCTGATTAAAACTATGGATAGACAATTAGAAAATACAGATAAGCAAAGAGAAGAAAGAGGACATCAATAATCCCACCACCTATTGGTAACTATGGTTTTTCTGAGTTAATAGTTGTCTCATTCACATGAATTAGCTATACCAATTGCTCATACCTATAATTTGTTTTAATTACTTGGTGCTTATAATCCCCAATTGTTAAATATTTGGAATATCACCTATGCAAAGCTACTGTTTTATAATTTTGAGGGTATCTTTTTTTTTTTTTTTATTATTAGTTAAGGTATTACAAATGTGTCCTCATCCCCCCCATTAACCCCCAACCTCCCCCCCACACACACTCATGCTCCCATCCCCCTGTTGTCCATGTCCATTGGTATGGCTTATATACATGTATACAAGTCCTTTGGTTGATCTCTTCCCCTTACCCCCGCCCTCCCCTACTTTCCTTCTGGGGATTGATAGCCTGATTGCTGTTTCTCAGTCTTTGAGTCTGTCCCTTTTCATCAGTCTATGTTGTTCTCTATAATCCACAAATGAGTGAGATCATGTGGTATTTATCTTTCTCTGACTGGCTTATTTCACTAAGCATAATGCTCTCCAGTTCCATCCATGCTGTTGCAAAAGGCAAGAGTTCCTTTTTTTTTTACCGCAGCATAGTATTCCATTGTGTATATGGACCACAGTTTTCTAATCCACTCATCTGCTGATGGGCACTTAGGCTGTTTCCAAATCTTAGCTATGGTGAATTGTGCTGCTATGAACATAGGGGTGCATATATCCTTTCTGATTGGCGTTTCTGGTTTCTTGGGATATATTCCTAGTAGTGGGATCACTGGGTCAAATGGGAGTTCCATTTTTAGTCTTCTGAGGTAGCTCCATACTGTTCTCCACAGTGGCTGCACCAGTCTGCATTCCCACCAGCAGTGCAGAAGGGTTCCTTTTTCTCCACATCCTCTCCAACACTTGTTGTTTGTTGATTTGTTGATGATAGCCATTCTGACAGGTGTGAGATGATAACGCATTGTCGTTTTGATTTGCATCTCTCGTATAATTAGTGACTTTGAGCAGGTTTTCATATGTCTTTCGGCCTTCTGTATGTCCTCTTTCGAAAAGTGTCTATCTAGGTCCGTTGCCCATTTTTTTATTGGATTGTTTATCTTCCTTTTGTTAAGTTTCATGAGATCCCTGTAAATGTTGGAAATTAAACCCTTATCGGTGGTATCATTGGCAAATATGTTCTCCCATGTAGTGGGTCTTCTTGTTGTTTTGTTGATGGTTTCCTTTGCTGTGCAAAAGCTTTTTATTTTGATGTAGTCCCATTTGTTTATTTTCTCTTTAGTTTCCATTGCCCTAGGAGCATTATCAGAGAAGAAATTTCTTCGGCATATGTTTGCGATTTCGCTGCCTGTGGATTCCTCTAGTATTTTTATGGTTTCCCGTCTTATGTTTAAGTCTTTTATC